AAAAAAAAAAAAAGAACCGAGCTGGGAGACTTGTGCTCGAGTGGCTGGGGCGGGCAGACGGAGGCGGGCTGTCTGAGTCGATGGCATTTCCTATTTCCACCTTGTGGTCCTCTCCTCCCTCCCTCAGAACTTTAAGCATAGGCCATAATTATGCAAATGAATTGAAAAATAGAAATTTGTAGATGACAGCCACCAGGATGGTTTTTTAATGGCTTATCACAAAGGTTGAGAATCCCTGGTTGAGACTGAGTAAATAGAGAATTTAGAATCTTACATAATTTTAAACCTTTCATGCCTAGGAAGAACATGCTGTCCTTGAGGTAGATAGCTCTTCAGAGGACACAGTTTAAGGTATGTAAAAAACTTAGTTTTCAAAGCCAGATATAGTCATGGGCCCATAATGACATTTTGGTCCATGGTGGACCACATATGTGACAGTGGACTCAAGTGACTGTAATGCCGTAGGACCTTTTCCACATTTAGCTACATACATACCACTGTGTTGGCAGCTGCCTACGGTATTCGGCACGGTGACATCTCTGCAGGTGTGTAGCTCAGGAGCCACAGACCATGGCACATAGCCCTGGTGTGCTGTAGGCTGCACCAGCGGGCTTGCTGCAGCACGTCCTGTGATGTTCGCACAAGGATGAGACCCGTGTAACTGTGGTTTTAAGCCAGCTGCTGAAAAAGTTCTCAGCACTTAGAGCATTTCTATTCTGATCTCTTTCACAAAGAGTTACACAAGAAACACCTGAAATGCTTGCTAGACATTGAATAGTGTTACCTCCAAGGTCAAAGCTTTTTGAGTAAAGTGACTGAAGGACTGCCACCTTGGCCTGGTCCAGCGTCAGGGTGGGTGTGCCACACGTCTGCACTGTGGTGGGAGGTTTCATGGCGGGGACTTTGTGGAACTTGGAGCAGAATCCCTTTTAGGATGGGTCTGGGTAGTTGTAGGCCGAGCACGTCCCGAGTTTCCAGAGTAGTGAGGCATTTTGGAAAGTGAAGAATTAATAAAAGAGTCAGTCAAGAAGAAGAGCAATTATTTCCAAACTATTGGATGACTGTTGAAAGGTCAATAAAAACCTATGTGGAGTGAAGACCAACCTAAATTAGCAATAGCCTGGGTCACAGAATGGGAAATACAGGCAGTGTTCCTGTTTCAAAGCACACAAAACGCGCTGCGTCTGCTGATGGGTCACTGGTTTACTGGAAGACGCTAAGCCCTTGGTTTTCCCAGGTAACATATTCTTTTAAAATGTCACACTGGTGATATGTATTAGCAACCCTTTCTTAGTTTTGCTGGGACTTAACAAAACATGGAATAGTAACATAACAAACTGAACTATTAGAACTTGAGTAAATGAATTCGAATATTCAACTGTGTCCTCCATGGTATTCAAATTAAGAAGCTGTTTGAAATAATAATCGTCTTGACTGTCCACTATCATTTTCTAATGTTAACATTTTATACTTATTTACCTCATTTTCTTTCAAGGCAACCAGGGCCCTAGAGCTTAGTCCCCTGCCTGTAGACCCAGGCCCGTTGCTCCTTTCTCCCGGCAGCCGGGTCACTGCTCCCAGTTGGCTTCCTCGCGTTACACGGCCTGCCCACCGTCCAGTGATCCTGCTGTCCAGTCGGCCGGAGAAGAGAGATCCGCTCACCTCTACCCCTTTTGTTGGTTCTTAGTAGTTGTAGAATTTAAATTAGTTTCAACGAAGTGTTCCTTTCATGAAATTTTAGGTAAAAGCCCAAATGGTCTGATGTCTGATAAAAAGATAATTTTCAAGTTTATCATAGTTCCTGATGCTTGCACTTTTTTTTAGCTGTGTTTCTGAGAATTTGTAGACTGCATATTATTATACTTCAAATTAAATTGTTTTTATTTTGAAAGGAATCATTTCCTTTTTGAGTTTGTTGTATTTTCCTCCCTGTGCTGTCTCTCACCTGGGTTCTTGTCAGTCTTCCTGTCTTGTACTCATCCTCTCACTGGAATAGAGCAGTAGAACGGGAAGGAACCTCAAGGCAGCTTCTAGAGCAAACCCTAGATCTCAGCAGGCCAGCGGACATGGAGCCAATACTTGCCCAGTGAGTGAGAATGTCCACTGGGGGCTTCACTAGGAAAGCCGCTCACCACCCGCCCCGTGCCTCAAGCACACTGACTGTAGGCCTGTAGCCCCGTGGTCCTCGCGAGCCCACACTTTCCCCGGTTTACACTCACTGTGTTTCCTGCCTGGGCCTGCAGGCCTCTCTGTTGATGATTTCAGGTATCTTCTGAGATATGATAGTGTGTTTTGGTGAAAAGCTCCCAGGGATAGATATCCACAGCCGGTCTCTATGCGCTTTGTCACTGTGAAGTGGGAGGCCGTGTGTTCTTCCTGGACGTACAGTACAACCTGTGTAGACTGACCACCCAAGGGTCGGTAGCAAACTGGCCAACATAGGGAGGTGGTCAATTGAAGGAACATCATTGAAGACAAGTGGTGCATGTCAGGTTTATGAAAAACAGGTCACCTTAGAGAGGTGGTCAGCTATGGAGGGCTACTGTATTTCTAAATCCTTTTGTGTACTTGGGTCAGTCCTTTGTAGAGATGTTTAGATTTATAAGATGCCCATCTTATAAATTCTAGAATCAAATTTAAGTAGTCGGACTGTGCATTTCTTTAGGGCAGTCTCAGGGATGCCATCATGGAGTCCGAGGTATAGGCTTGCCCTGTCTGTGGCTCAGTGTCCAGCCTTTCTTTGAGTCAGGCCAGTTCTCTCCAGTGAGCACCCTCCCCGCTGTCATCCCCTCTCTCAGACCACTCCGATGAAGTTTGACCTACAGTAAGAATATTAGCCTGGGATAGACTCTATATGGGTGAGTCAGTATGTGGTATTTGAAAATGTTTTTATTATGTCAAGGTAGGCTAACCGCTATAACAATTTCCAAATCTTCACACATTTGAAGCTTATTTCTTGTTCATGCCACAGTTCAGTGTTAAGTTCATATAAAGACTCGGACCAGGGCTGCCTCATCCTGGGCTCCACAGCCTACAAGGCTTCAGAGCCCTCTGCCCCCCACCTTCTGCATCTGATGGAGGCTGGTGGTGAAGCACGTGGCACTGTCACCCACTGTCCTTTGGCTTTCCTAAGTCATGGGCTCCTACTAAGCCACAAGGAAGGCTGGGAAATCTGTGGCTGTGTGCCCTGGTGGAAGGGAGCCTTTCAGAGTCTTTGCCACTTAGATGTTGGTTTGGATTGTCCACAGCAGATCATCTTGTATCAAACAGCAGTTAATTCTGTCGGCAT